TTGGTTGTGCTCCTCACACTGCTTACAGACTCATGGTGGAGTGATCACACTCGCCACAGTGCGTACATGTTCATAACAGATTGGTTGTGCTCCTCACACTGCTTACAGACTCATGGTGGAGTGATCACACTCGCCACAGTGCGTACATGTTCATAATAGATTGGTTATGCTCCTCACACTGCTTACAGACTCACACTGGAGTGTTCACACTCATCACACTGCTTACAGACTCCCACTGGAGTGTTCACACTCGTCACACTGCTTCACAGGTTCACAACAGAGTATTCTTGCTTCTCATGGTGTTCATGGGCTCACAATGGAGTGTACACCCTAGTCACAAAGCTTACAGGTTCACGGTGAAGTGATCACACTCCTCACGAGCACACAGTGTTCTCCCTTGTCACACAAATCATATGTTCACCCTCGTCACACTGTTCAAAAACACAGTGGAGTGTTCACACTAGCCACACAGCATTACAGAGGAGTGTTCACACTCATCACACTGCTCACTGCCTCATGGTGGAGCGTTCACCCTCTCCTGCCAGCAGTCGCCACCATCCATCCGGTCTCCAGCACCACAAGGACGGCCATTAATTCTTAATTATGACTGATTAATTTTAGTTTAAAGTTCCCTAGCAGGAATCTCATCAGGCGGATATTCTGTCCCACACTGTGATAAATGCATCTTGTACTCCACAGGTCTGGTGATGCAATTCCGTTTAGGTTAACTGTGTTTGATCAGTTTATTATTATTATTTCAATTTTATTATTTATCTTAACTTTTTCCCTTATAGTTTAGGTATGTTTATGCACAGTGTGGAGCTGTTTTGCCACAATAACATTTCACTACCATTCTATCAGTACAATTGTGACAAATAAAAATCTAGATTCTTAAGTCATTTGTGCATGATGAAGCTTGAACACAACAGCTGTATTAAATGTGCAGATGCCTTAAATAGTATGTCGCTCTAAGCTGTATATTACTGCTAAGTAGACAGAGATGTACTGTACAATGGCCATGGGATTAAGCTTTGATCTGAGACGGAGGCAAGCCAAACGACACGTTGTTTTGTATCTCAGCGGCCATTAAATCTCCCATTAAAGCCCTGTGACCTGGTGACTCTTCTGGTACCTTTGGTACGAGTAGCCGCGAGCTGGTGAGTGGGGTCTGGTACAGCAGCTTCACACGAGCGAAAGCAGGACACGCACACCGGTGTGACACCGCCACAGTCTGTGACAAGGGCCCATCTGGAGAGAAGTCATAGAGCTGACACCCACCTGTTAGCTCCAGGGCAGCTACAACACGCTCGTCTGCACATAGCACAGGCACCACGAATCAGTGGATCTCTGCCTTTCCTATACAACCTGATGCACTGATGCTGACATATACAGCCATTTTCCAAAATGTCACCTGTGCCCCCTACCTAGCAACCGTGACCCTATTTCTTCCAACATGAACAAACCAGCTAGAGACAGGTGAGGTCAAATGACAGACATGTGCAGGGGAAGCCTTTGGATTCACCACTTAACACGTTCGAATAGTGTGTCCTTCCAAAGGACAGAACAGCTCCGATTTAAATTTTAAAAATAGTAATTTTAATTCCATCCTTAAAGAAAGTTACGTTTCCCCTTCAGTTTTGTAATTAAATTTTCAACTCTTAAATTCAAGTCACATCTGAAAAACAGTGCAATATATTTGGTTAATTTACAATACAGCATGAAGTGTTTGAAAGAGTGTAGATCTCATTAAGGGAAACGCAAGTATATCGCGCCACACTGAAGACAACACTCATTACGTAATTATCTGTATAATGCTGTCTACTTACAGGACTTCAACACACTTAAACCAATATATAAAATAAAGCGAACCATTTGTAACTTACGCATTCCAAAGATAAATCTACCTGTCGATATAGCATAAAAATTAATGTAGCTTAACTCTTAATATTATTTCTGTGCAGAAAAAGAAACACTTGTGGTGGCTGTCTTTTTACAGTCTCGCGTCATTAACTCACCTCGGTGTTTCTTCGCAGCTTCACTCCGCAAATTCAACTCTAAAGTTTTTAACGCACATGTATCCCAAAAAAGAGCCCGATGAGCGGCTTTGGAAGGAGCCTGCAATGTTATCAGTGGTTTCTTAATCCGTCTTTCGGATAATAATAGTGTGCATCCCCTTTTCGGCAATAAAGGATAACTAGGAAGACAGAAATGAGGAGCGGCAGCTTGTCTCCGTTTCTTCTCGCATCACATTGAAACAGTAATTCGGCACCGACACGGATCCCGCTGGTGCCGAAGTGAGAGAGCTGGGAGCGAGAAGAACAGTGAGAGAGGAAGACTGGAGCCGTGGACACAACAAGTGTGGTGCAATATAGAAACACGCGTGTGAGCTGATTATGAATCCAACGACATGGAAAGAGCGTCTCCAAAAAGCTTGATTTAATTAAACATCATACGATACAGACCGATCCCAAGTTTTAATTTAATAGTTTACAGAGAATTCCTACTGTCCTGTGTCACCTCTTATAAGAAAGATGTTTGATCAGAAGTGTGCATTCACCCTTAGTGACCCCAGGTCCAAGTACATAAATCTAAAGCGAAATTATGTCATTTTTTATTTAGTTTACAGTCGATTCATATTGAGAAGCACTCCTCGAGTATTCGTACACGTGTTGGGTCCCGGGAACTTGTGTTGCAAGTTGCAATTCTATGACTTGCTGTCGAGGGTCATCCTGCAAAGTTTCTTACTGGTGACCAGTAAACAGCCCCAAATTGTACTCGAAGTATTATTTTACGTAGTTGTTAAAAAGATCTGTATGCGGTTTTCGACCTTATGTTGTTCAGCGAAACCGTATAGTTTCTGGCTTTAGGGGCGCAGCGCGATGCTCGTACAAATTAACGGATCGATTTTCACTTTCAGTGATGAATGAGATTTATGACCCCGTTGTGTCCGATGGACATATAGAAGTCCCAAGATCCCGGTGGCTTTCCTGAGAGAGGCTTACGGTCAATGGACACTCCGTGCTGGAGGAGTCGCGGTGACCCTGCTGTCACACAAAGAGCAATTGGAACAACAAGAGGCGTCGGCGCGCCTTCCCCAGGTGGGTCGACATTGAAAATGCTGGAAAGCTCAGCGCCCTTTCCCCGGTGCCCGGTCGAGCGGCCTCATTCACCGCACTTGGTAGTCTGGTCTAGCGCTGCAACGGAGGTCTGTTCTGCCTTTCGGGTTTTGAGTGTCATTGATTTTCGGCAGAGTGCTTAGCACCTGGTAAATGGCCTTTCAAGCCAAATTGCCCTTTCGCGTGAACTGCTGTAGTGCAGGATCTTGCCCTTCTGTGCAGGTTTAAGCACTATAATACACTGTTACCAAACCTGGGTCATTATCCCCACCCCATGCTGCTCACCTTAAACGCGCCTTGTATATAAAACCCCACTGCAGATTCAGATATTTACAGTTGCCATTACGAAGGGCAAACATGAACCATGATGAGGGTTTCAGATAACATTTAACCTTAAGCGTGCGGTATTGTACAGTACGACATAGACGTACGTCAACAAGGTGTATGCATGTATGAAATGTATATAATCTTCCGTATTGAAGCTCTTTATTACCGACCTACCCATACATGCGTACATAGATACATACATTTTATTCCAGTCAGGTTTAATCTATCCAGTAATTAAAAAAAATATTTTGTAAAACCAGAGATTAACAGAAAATATGTAGTTAGTGAGAATATTGAAAATATCTACCTGCTGTATCATCTTTTGTCATGAAAATAATACTATTGTTTTGAACATTTTAACATTTGTTCAATCTTAAGCGCAGTTCTCTTCTAGCCAATCTTTAAAATATTCTGTATGCTCAGTGGAAGAATTCATGACTTGGTCGTCCTGTTTTTAAACCTTAAGGCGTGTGTCGCCTTTTAAATAATTTATTTAAATAATGCTGTTAATAATTTTAATAAATCCTCTTCATTAACGCACCGTTGTTATACATGCTTAAACTGCGAGATGCTAAGAGTTCATAATTATTTAGCAAACAAAAGCGTTACGTTTAATTATTTTAAGATCATTGGACTGAATTACGGTGTGCTGCCCTCTAGTGGCTGATATGTAGAGTAACATTTACTTTGGATTGTACGTATGTATGCTTCCTTGAAAGCTGTTTTTATTGGGGTTAATGTAATAAGCGTATCGCATAAGTAATTTACAAGTGTTAATTATTGACTCATTTAGCAGGCCTCTCTACCCAGGACTCCATGCAACTGATGAGGATCTTCACAGGCATGTCGTGCTTATGATTAATGCAACATCTGCCTGTTGGGGGTGAGTACACCACTGCACAATTATATATTTGTCTGCCATTTTCCACTGCTTTTTTTGCATCTGACTTTGAGTCATCACCTGCTTCTGTGTTTTTGAGGTGTAGCCATTTCCTGTGGTCTCCTCATCTTCCCGTTCACAGTTGTCTGTGTGGCACCTTCTTCCTGTGGTGAGTGGACCCTTTCTGCTTTGAGTGCTGTGCTTTGGGATGTATGGCTCGGCAGGCATTGGCCTTGCACTAGATCTATACCTCAGTGCCTTTGTTTGAGGTTTCCGTAGCAGCAGCTCTATATTTAATGCAGAGTGGAGACTGAAGCAGGAACTGCTTCTGCCTGCTTGTAGAGTCCTCAGTTCTCTGAGACGTCCTTTCGCCTGTCTACGGCCATGTCTAGTATATTTAAAAATTAAGACTAAGATAGAATTTATTGATCTCAGGGGTATTCTGGAGATTCTAACTGTAATGATAGTTCTGCGTGGTTCTGTATAACCCTAAATTCAAATGTACTACATCAGGGGTGACCAACTCCAGTCCTGGGGGGCCAGAGCCCTGCACATTTTTGGGTTTCCCCTCATTTAACACACCCGATTAAATTCCTTGTGCTAATTACCACACAGCTCTTGAGCTGAATAACTTATGGTGGAACAGGGAAAGAACTAAGCTACACAGGGCTCCGGCCCCCCAGGACTGGAGTTGGGCACCCCTGTACTACATGGAAATAAAGGCATACTGATGAATAGTAGCAAACCAATGGTCAAAGTAATTTTCCACAATGAATCAGAAACTCCTGGTTTTAGACCATAATAATTTATTAGTATGGTGTTGGACCTCCTTCTGTGGCCAGTACAGCATCAGTTCATTCTGAGAATGACAGGTAGAAGTCCTGCACAGCCGCCAGAGGGATTTTGAGCCATTCCTCCTGCAGAACAGTGGCCAGGTTGCTATGTGATGCTGGTGGAGGAAAATGTTTCCTGACTTGCTCCTCCTAAACACCCCAAAGTGGCTCAATAATGTTCAGGTCCAGTGACTGTGCAGAATGTGTGAGATGTTCAACTCCACTTTCATCAAACTACTGTCACCAGCCTTGCTGTGTGTATTGGTGCATTATCATCCTGATACATGAAACCACCTTCAGGGTACAATGTTTGAACCACTGGGTGAACATGGTCCTCCAGAATGGTTCAGTAGTCCTTGGCTGTGACGCGTCCATCTAGAACAAGTAGTGGGCCTAGGGAATGCCATGATATCGCAGCCCATATTGTCACTGATCCACCCCTGTTCTGCACTCTGGGTATGCAATAGTCCAGGTACTAAACCTCTTAGGGGATTTTCTCCAAGGTGTGGGAAAGACAGTGGAGGTGGACTCATCAGAGAACAATACCCATTTCACATTGTCCACAGTCCGAGATTTACACTGCTGGCACCATTGAAACTGATGTTTGGCATTGGCACGAGTGACCAAAGGTTTGGTTATAGAAGCTTAAGCATGAATATTGACCCTGTGGAGCTCCTGACGAACAGTTTTGGCGGAAGCTGGAGAGTTGAGGTGTGCATTTTTATTCTGCAGTGAGTTGGCCAACTGTGGTTATATGATTATTTGGGTACAATCCAGGTTAGTACCCGGACCTCCCTTTCAGACAGCTTCCTCTTGCATCCACAGTTACTCCTGTTGGATGTGGTCCGTCCTTCGTGGTGGAATACTGACATTACCCCGGATACCATGGCTCTCGATCCAGCACAAAGACTTGCTGTCCTGGTCACAGATGCACCAGTGAGATGCACACCAACAATATGTCCTCTTTTGAACTCTGATATGTCTCCCAAATGTTGTGTGGATTGCAATATTTTATGTACTGTATGCCTGTGCTGTTCTCTGCTCTGCTAATTCAGCCTTCACACTCTGGTCTTACAGATGGACTGTGCAATCAGTGAAGACTGGACACCAGGCCATTCAAATATAGATGTGGATACTCAAACACTGTGCCTGTGTTTCAGTTTTATTGTCCAGTCACTGTACTTCTCAGATTCTAAGATGCTTGAAATTTGGTCACTAGGGGGTACAATGTCATCGTTTTCAAACCTTGCGGAGTAGCCTTTGCGGTTGAGAAGACTACCTTGCTGAAACAGAGTCAGATTGTGTGTTGGAAAGGGGCGGAGGTGATCCCTAGGTCTGTTTTGGCCATTAAAATGCCTGCAAAACCAAGCTCCTAACAGGGATTTACTGGATGTAGGAGTCAGTTTCAAATCCATCCCAAAAACTAATCCCAGACAATCAGTACTGAAACATTCAGCAAGAAAAGCAGTCCAGGAAGCTGGTACAACAGCCCATATATTTTATAGAATAAAACATTATTCTTTTAAAAAATACTCATGTGGTAGGAAAAGTTGAGACTTTTATGGACTTCTGGTGCTGGCCAGCTTTTCCAATTGCCCAGTACATCTTGGCGCTGTGGATTGACTGTTTCCCACTGGTTCCTAAATTGGAGTGATGGAGAATTGGATTAGTATGCAGGCCCAACCATTTCAGATGGCTGGGGATAGGGGAAGCTGCTAAAGCCATCGGACAGACACCCCTCTGCTCTACCCCTAATGATCTGCGAAGTCCTCCCCCACCAAGTGACACCTGGGTGCACTTCTCCTGGGGAGGCCAGACTGGGACTTAGGGCTGCAGTTATGGGCTCTGGGAAAGGACCCTGTTTCCCTGTTGAGGAGTGTTATGTCAGGAGAAAGGGAGTTTGGGTGGATGCTGAGTGGGATGTGATAGCTTGGCCTGCAAAGTTAGCAGTTTGTGAAATGTGTAACAAAGTAACTCTGAGGTTCCAAACAAAACAAACATATATACTTTATTTGCCATTTGCAGGTACATTGGGATGCTTTTTTGCTGACCCCATCTTGCTCTCCATAGCTTGGGGGGGTGGGGGGGGGGTGGGGGTCACAGTGCAGGGCTTGTTCATGTGTAGTACCCCTGGAGCTGGGGGTTAAGGGCCTTGCTTAAGGGTGCATGGACATGTGACTGTTCTGTTGAGGCTGGGACTTGAACTGGTGATCTTCTGATCGCAGACAGAGGCAGCCTGCTGAGCCACTCACCGCCCCCACCTCAGTGACATCACAGCAGGCCTGTGCTCTGGCGGACATGAGAGGCAGTGGATGTCTTCTACCATATGAAGATGCTAGCATAGTGCTGGTTTCATAGCTCATGGCACGGTGACCATGCTGTCCATATGGGGCAAAGTGATCGCTCTTGGAGGTGGCCTACCTCTCCCCCACCCCAGCATGCCCTTCTCCAGACATAGGGACCACTTCCCTCCTTTGTGGTACCTGCTAGCCAAGCGGCACCTGTTACACTGATAAGGGCCGCGGTGTTGATCCATTCCGACACTTTTCCTCATTAGAGCAGACATCAGCAGCTGGTATATATATAGAGGACATGTAGTGGGGCAACACTACCTTATGAAGTATTATTCATGGTGCTCCATGGAGGCGTTTGCTAGGTACAACAAGACATTTCAAAGTGCTGTGTCTTTTCAGCCTTCATTACCTGATATATCTGCAGAATCATGCTCTCCTACACAGTGTGTGTTGTCTTCTGTGGGTGTGTGTGATAGTACACAATGGCGAATCCAGTGTGTGATGACACACTCTCTGATCTGTCAGGTTGGGCAGGGGCCGTGCCTACGTTTGGGGTCCTTGTGTGTCTGGCATCGCTGATTTCGAATCTCATATCCTTGATCAAAGTTGTGTGACTCATTATAGAATATGATAAATATTCATCGCACACCAGGATATGCACAAGAGTTGGAGCAGTAGCTTCGCTTAGGGCCAGAGCAGTTCCATCCAGTCCCTGATCCCAAAGACCATGGTGAAGGATCTGAAGATGTCTCAGGAATGGCTCCTCTTAGGGATGCAATGTTCAAAGGGGGCTGAGACAAGGAGACCTTGCTTTCTTTTTTGGTAACTATATGTTTCTTTTTTCAGTCCTCTGGGTTCAGTGCCATCAAAGTCATCGAGGATTTGAATCCACATTGACATGGCCAACACTTACATCACAGTCACATTATCCAGTCCCATTCACCACCAATTGCCACAACTTGCCTAGTTGAACATTTTGGGGTTCATAGCCCAAGATTTCCCTCTTGCCCTTGGTCCAAGCTCACGCATGTAATATGCGCAAAAATACTGTGGCCAGCAGAGGCCACTGTTGCACAGCTCAAATTAGGCAGTCACACATACCCTTCGTTCCTCATGGCAGTTTATCTAATCTCTTTGACTAAATTAAGTGGCCAGCTACTTCATGCCTCTTATCTGTCATGGTGATATTTGGGGCTGATGGCATGCTACCTTGGCTTGGTTCACAGGGCGTACATTCTCAAAGAAAGCAGGTGAGAGTGATTTCTCCTCTGTTATTTGTCATCTGTAAGTTGGAGGTGAAGCTCATCCAAGTTCTCTTGACCAACTGCGTGCAGCTTTAGAGCGCTGGAGATCAGGGGAGGAAAGGCACTTGCCGAGACAGATGCGGCGGCCTTCAGACACGAGGTGCTTCTGATGAGGCGTGCTCACTAGAGCCGGACAGACTTGGTCAGGGAAGTGTGGGAGGGATTTGGGTTATATTTAGGTTCGACCAGGAGAGTGTGAGACAAAGCAGCTCCTCTCATAGACAGGACTGCACTCCACACACTTGGATTTCAGTGAGTCCCATCCAAAGTGCCTTTTGGCCCCTTCTTGTACTGCACTTATTTGCAGAACAAATATGACCTGAGGATTTGGGGTCACCGCAGGGCTGTGTCTCTCAGCATTTCCAGCCGTGCTGAATTCATGCCTCTGTCAGTCAAGGAAATGCCTTTTCCTTCTTGGCCGCGATGCGGCTGCTTTTCTGCGGCAGGAACACATCCCGCCTCTGTCCCGTTAAGGTGCTCCGAGGATCTGGCCCGGGATCGCGCTTCACGCTCGCCAGTGGAGCCTAAGATCTGGTGACAGGTTTGGTCCAAATGTGAGGCAGCAGGGCGGCCCGTGAAGTCCATTCGCAGTGACTTTCAGGTGATTGTTAGGTCAGCCTGAGCACCGGGACTCTCAGCCTTCCTGGAGGTTAGCAGACCATGGCTAACGCTTCTGCCTACATGCTAAATGGGCACAGCTTGCTGCAAGCAGCCCCGCTTGGGTTAATGCCTAACTTTTTGCCTCATTGGAGTTACCTGGATAAATGTAAATGAGAGGAGGTCTTGTATAAGCTATTTGGATCTCTATTCATCTTCTCCATGGCTATGACCTCATATTGAACTGCGTTTCCTTATCATGTCTAATGTCAAGATGTTTAGTCATAGCAGCGGCTGACCCGACCCCCCCAGCCCATGTTGGCTTGTGTCATGTTTTTGTAGCCAGTGGCCAGAGTCCTGCACAAAACCAACCCACAATTCCCTGCAAGGCGTTCCCGCAGCCACACACGTCATATGATCGTGTCAGATAGCTGTATCTTACGTTCAAGCACCTGAGGGCCCATAAATCACTGGTCCCTCTTGGACTGGAGAACGATAACGCCTGGCTGGCTTACTCAGCCTCTCACCGCCCTCCAACCCCCTAGTGAATGCTGGTTTTGGAGAGGCACAGCTATTTCTCAGCAGGCCCCTATAAATCAGCTCCCTACCAGCTGTGAAGTCATGTGTTGTCTGATAGGCTGCCACCCTGTGGGACACTCCTTGCACAGTCCATACAGGGACCTTCCATAGAACCTCCAAGCCACCCCCTCAATCATCACACTTTCCCACCATTGCATATAACTTCCTTGTTGGAGAAGACCATGAATCCAGTTCATATTTGCAGTCTTCAAGGGCAAGATGCCTGACATATTTGGCTCTACATCTGCCCTTGAAGTGTATGTATAATATGTTAATACACAGAGGTCATCCAGGCTTTTGTCAGCAGCTTTATAAAATTATAAATGACTGTGTTTTACCTTATTATTTTGTTGAAAAATATTTCTTAAGGTCAAGATTGAGAGTTGGAATCTTGCATTGCATTGACCAGGCGTAAGAATTTCATAGCAGCGCAGAGCCGTCACCGTAGGCCTGCTGTTAATGAAGACTCCTCAGAACAAGAGCCAGACAACAACAACAACAACAAATTTATTTTTGTATAGCGCATTATCACAACATTACATTGTCCCAAAGCGCTTTACAGCATCCCCACCCAAAGCCCCCAGTGAGTAAGCCATAGGCGACAGTGGCAAGGAAAAACTCCCTAGAAGGAAGAAACCTTGGGAGGGACCAGACTCAAAGGGGGAGCCCATCCTCCAGGGGCCGGCAGGGAGAGTCAAATACAGTGTAGTCTGAAACACAAACGCAGAGTAGGGGGGAGATGACAAGCCGGTGCCAACACTTCCTCCAATCGCCAGGCAGCCAGAAGGCAGGGAGCGGGTCATACAAGGAAGATGACACTGGCAGAACGGCGAGCTGGATGCACGGTCGTCATTGGCAGTGGCGACGTCACATGTTGCAGGGTGTGCTGGACATCTTGATAGATTGAAGGCTCCAGGTAGCACCACCCAGGAGAAGGTGGTGGAAATAAATGCAATTAGTCAAAGTAAGGGAGACTATAGGCAGTGCTAAAAGTTAGATGAGTGCAATATGAAGTGCAATGCTCCGGCAGATATGGCTATGGCAGCATAAGTAGGAGGGAGAGGCAGGTGGGAATGCAGGCATGGGGAGTCCCTGAAATGTCAGCACTCCAATCCCACAAGCAATTGTGAAGCTAGAGTGACAGCACTGTCAATTCAGTTTATCCAAAGCCAATGGCACCGATCCCCACCCAGCTCTA